AGTTGAGTTGAGTTGAGTTGAGTTGAGTTGAGTTGAGTTGAGTTGAGCGCTGAAATGCCAAAATCCTGCAAAATCTAGCAGTGCATCCCACATCATGCACCACAACACTTCAGGTCAGGATGCTTCTAATTGTATAGAAAAGAAAGAAAAGAAAAAGGAGGGAGTGATGCATCAGGTAATGAAAGCAGGAGGAACACAGCTCCACACCTTCAAGTTTGTGCCAACAAAACCATCCCGGACCAGTCTCTGAAACATTTATGGGATTTTTCTCTATACAAACAAAATCATCATCATGCAGACATGATATTGAACCCACAACACATTTTTCACACGCTTGATTTATGGAGCAAAGTGTGGTAGCTCCGGTCTCCTCCTGCCGGGCTTCACGTCTTAAAGGTTAAACATTTCAAACAGGCAGAGCCCATTTGTAACCGTCAGGAGCAAACGGGCCCCCCCTCACTCCCACGTTCAGACGTTTAGGAAGAATCTGGAGTCATTATTCGTCTGATGATACATGAGCTTTAAGGACGTGGTTTAAAGACTCAGCTTCGAGAAAATTATCTTCATAAATGCTCATAGAGGCATTTAACTGGATGGTAAAGTTATCCAGACTCTGGAAGTTTCAAGACTTGTTTAGTTTTGTGACCTCAGAAAGATTAAAAAAGGAATCAGGTTTGAACTCAAACTGATTATTTTAGGTGTTTAGGTATTTAAGTTTTTTTTTAACAAAATTTGTATTATTTTTTCAGAAATAATACAGTGTGGTACAAATGTACATGTGTATTTTTATATTTTTAAACATAAAAAACAACCAAACACAAACACAGGGTGATTAGGTATTTAAGTTTTTTAATGTTATTTTTTAAATGGCTTTTGGACAAGCAGTTACGCCATTTTAGTTCAAACTGCATTCGTCCAGTGCAGATGTTAGAAAGAAAGATGGACTGAGTGTTCATTTGTCCCACAGCAAACAGAGCCCACAGAGTTGTGTTTTACATGCTTTATTTTCATTTGCTTCAGCACTAAAAGGCCTCCAACCGCGCTCTCACACAGTTAATTGCATTAGTCCAGAGTCTTTACAAATAAAAAGACAGACATTGTACAAAAAAAGAAAACAGAAAAAAAAAAAGCACCGAGCAGAGGCGAACTTTGGATGATGAATGGCGTCTTTATTAGGGAGCCTGTTGAGTTGAGTTGAGTTAACCTCTGTTGACTGACAGTGTTTGGGGCTTTACGTTTTACACTTCGGGGAGAGAAAAGTGTTGACGAAGGAGCTTTTCCTTCAATTCCTTTTGCTCCAGTCTGAACATTTATCCTTAAACACACATTCTTTTTTTTTAGATTCAAGAGATAGAACACAAACAAAAATAAGCTAACTTGAGCTTTGGGCACAGATGAGAAACACTGTACTGGGTTTTTCTGACCACAGTCAGGTTTGCAAACAGGAGAAAAAGCTTAACTTGAACCCTTAATATTCTATTCCGTCCAAACTTTGGCAGTCCATGCGTCAGAAATCCTAAAGACTCGTCCATCCTGGAGTATTCGGAGTCGGTCAAAAAAAAAAAAAGTGCAATAGCACAGGATTAATATCAGTGGCTGTGACAGATGGCGGCTAAAAGCTGTTAGTTTTTTTTTTGTTTCTACTCTTTGGGAAAGCCTTGTGCTGGTTGCAATGGGACACCATGTTCAAAGCTCCTGAAGCCTTTCAAACCAGTCAAAGTAGTTAAGTCTCTGCAAAAACCATCCAAAATTCAGAGTTTCTTGGATTCTAGATGGAAAATTCTGCAGGAATTGAATTCAGATTACAGAGGTTTTTTACGGGAATGACACAGATTCCTCCTTTGGTCTGCATGAGGGCCGCTGGAATTTTGGGCCGTTTTTTTTGTTTTTCTCTTCATCAGAAGCAACTCCACTCCAGTCTTTTTTTTTTCTTTTTTTTATCCGACTCCATTAAACCCTCCAGTGTCGGAACTAATCTAATTACTCATCCCGAGGCTTGAGATCAATGACATTTTCGCAGAATTCACCTTTCCTGAGTTTCACTTTAACGTTTTCCTTTTTTTTTTCTTCTTCTCCTACATCTGTAACTAAAGTTCATCAAAACACGAGTCACTGAAATACATCAAATAGAAAAAAACAAAGAACTTCGGGAAAACTTCACTTTTAGCATTTCCGCACGGGAGTTTGGCAACATTGTTAAAGCGGGGCTTGGGTCGGGGTCAGTCTGGAGTTAAGCTGCAGGTCCACGCCACACAGGAAAAGTCCTTTCATTAAAGTGCACAAGAGAATAGAGGAGTGAACAGAGAAAGATGCAGGAAAAGGAGTGAAACCCCCCCCATTGGGCTCCGGGGGCCTGAGCTGAAGCGCATTACTAGAGGATGACCGCTCGTTTTTGCACGTCCAGGAGCCCTGAAGGCGGCTCGGTCAGGAGGAACTGAATGAGCCGAGCTCTGGATCGTAGTCTGGATTTAGACGATTTAAAATAATAAATTCTGATACCTCTTTCACACAGGAGTCCTGAACCGTTCGGGGTGTGAAAATGGCTTAAGAGTTTTTTTTTCCTTTTAAAAAAAAGCTGAAGGGAGATAAAGAAACGATAGAAATTCAGTATAAAAGGTGGCCGAGCTGCACCCAGATGCAGCTGCTTTCCTCTCCCCACCTGAGGGGGGGGGGGAGGGGCACCGGCCCAACCGAGCTGTCCGATTGGCCGAAGGGCTCGGAGGGTTAAAGGCGAGCGACGGCTGCTTTCTGAGTGGGGAGGCTTCCTCCTGGAAAAAAAAGAGCCAAACATGACATTTACTTTAATTGCTCGATGAGGAGGGAAAACAGAAAAAAGCTTGGGTTCTCACCCAGAGTGTCTTCCAGTGAGTTGACCACCACCGCGTTGACCTTTAGAGTGCCCGGCGCCTCCCCTCTGGAGCACAAACGGGGAGGGGGTCGATTATTTAGGACAAGTCTGCGCGGGGATGCAGCTCATAAAGGGCCTCGATTCTGTATCTAAAGAGGTGACGCCTCGTCCCATTTGTGGGATTTCCTTTTCACGGGAAATGGTTAAAACGGTCAACTATGAAAACATCTGGAGCTCAGAGTTTAAGCAAACAACCACAAGTTAACGGGAAAATGACCGTGGGTGAGATCGGGTGTTGATGACATTATGGGGTTTTTGGTTTCCGACCCGGTGCTTCTTCCCTCTCGTCCACTTACCCTTTCAGCTTCTGGACGGCGTCCAGCCTGAGCAGCGCCGCCAGCGCGTTCTTCTGGAGGTCCGACGACAGCGCCTCCACGTACCCGAGTCTGCCTGCGCCACACACACACACACACACACAAAAAAAGCTGACCGTCACCCCGCCGGACGGAAACAGCCACCGGCCGAACCCAAAAAGCAAATCGGAGGAACCTGTTAGGAGCTGCTTAATGACGAAGGCCCGGACGGCGGGGACAAACTGCTTCTCCGTCAGACCCTCCGTCGCCTCCTCGCACAGGAACCTGCACACCACCTGAGAACACACACACACACACACACACACACGTTTTTTAACTTAACTCCTTTGCTGCCAAAGATGTCTATAGACGTCTTTGATGTTTTTCAACGAGAGTGGCTGGGGGACGATCTGCTAAAGCTTGTCCGTAAATATCGGCTTCTAGACAGAGTATGTAGTAACAAATTGACCCTCTAGGTGGCAGTGCCACTTTTGATGGGAGATGAGCATAGACTGTAGGCAAATAAGAAAAAGCTAACGGTTCGATATGAGAGAACATGTCGCCGGTGAGACGCAAGTCGAGGAAGAACGGAATAAGGTAGAAACAAAAAAATTTTCCTGATGAAAGAAGAAAGTCTACTCTTTCTTTTGGTGTGTTTGGAGTTTACATAGTCATAGCACAAACTATTCTGTGGCTCTTGAAAAATCAGTCAAAATGCTCAAAAAAACTCTGGCAGTCAATGAGTTAACTTTAAACTTTGAGCGTACAAAAACGCGACGGCTGACCGCCCCTCACCTGGTACCCCTGCAGGAACGGGTCCAGGAGCTTGGCGAGGAAGGCCAGCGTCCGGCGTCCTCTCTCCGTCACCAGGATGTCCTGCTGGCCGGCCTGCAGAGCCCCGTTCTTCCCCAGGAGGTAGCAGGCCTCCTCGAAGTCCTGCGGGGCCGCAGACAGGACAGAGGTCAGTGGGCCGGACGGCGTCCATCCGGCCTGGACGCCGTCTGCCCGATCCTCACCTGCACAGCCGCTCCCGGACACAGGATGAACTCGTTGGAGAACACGTTCCTCAGGAAGGTGAAGCTATTGAAGACGTCCTCTGGAAAACAAAACGAGAGAGGGAGCGGTCGTTAGCGTGCCCACCGGGTGGTCGCCGTGGCAACGTGGGGAGGACGGCGGCGGCCGCTGACGTTTCCTGCTGGAGGAGGCGGTGCGCAGCGCGGAGGCCAGCAGCGCCGGGCGCAGGAAGACGTGGAGCCCCTGGTTCCTGTAGGAGGCGCAGGACAGCACCACCACGGCCCGCCGCAGGAGCTCCTCCTCGGGGGCGCCGGCCCCCCCTTCAGGACAGGGTGAGCTGCATTAGGGCCGGAGCCGGAATACACGACTTTCTCGTGAGATTTGGGAGGGAAAAAACAAAACAAAACACGAACCCAGTTCCTGGGCAAGATGCACTCTTCCTTCTGAGATCCTGACGAGCCCTCCATGAAGGGAGAGACTGGAGGAAACCACCTCAGAGGGAGGAACCTGGTCTGGTGGGGAGAGAGAGGAGTCAGTGAGGAGCTCATTCCTCTACGTGTACGTTAACATCATCTGCTTCTTTTTGATAAAGAAAGTCCTATTAAAAAACTTTGACTAATTCCTAAGTCTTTTCTGGTTTCAGGAAAGTAAAATGTGGAAAATTAAGCTTCAACGTAATGTTTCATCCACAGAAATGTTATTTTATGATCATCTCAGCAGCATAGAAGAACAAAGCCCTGAATCTGCCCTTTTTCTGCCCAGGTGCCTTTTAACAGGTTCCTTCTTATATTTCAGACTTATTCCTAATATATGTGACATTAAACTCCAACAGGCTCAAGTAAAGTGTCAATAAAAAGCTCCAGAAGCTTTATCTTTATCTTGAAGTTTCTGAATCAGAGTGGTTGCACGTCAGACTTTGGGAAATTAAACTTTTTCAGAGCCTCATTCTGTTGGTTTTAAATTGTGTTTGTGGCTTAAAGGGAGCTTATGATGTCCTGTTTCCTACATTTCATCACCAGGCGGGAACACCACTACTTTGAGGCATTCGCTTGCTGTCGGATCTCTGCCCGTTTACTTGTTTTTAACAGACGTCCCTTTGTGAGTCGTCTCCGTGGCGCACAGACCGGGCATTGTCCCGGACCCCGGTGGTGCCGTACCGGGCCAGTGAAGGAAGGCTCCGAACTGCCGGGCGAGGTCTCGGAGCCACGCGGCCTGCTGGGTCAGCTCCTCCAGGGTCAGCCCCTGGCCGGGGCCGCGGCCGGCCGGCTGGTTCTGGAGCAGCAGGGAGGCCAGGAGCACCCAGGGCTTCAGCACCATGTTCTCCTCCTGCGCCCGCACCAGCCGGTAGGCCGCCGCGTTCACGAAGACGCCCACGTCCTCCCCGGGTCTCCTGGGGATGTGTCTGAAAACGATTTAAAAAACGTCAGACATATGTATTCATTAAGAGGTCCGACCTCATCTAGAAAGGGGAAGACTGTTCAGAAATGTCCAGAACAGACGATGATGGATAACTGACAGGAATTCAATTGATCCCCCCCCCATGCAGCCTTTTTCTAACGCAAATCACTAGTCTGAGGCTGGCGTCTGGCACCTGGGCGTCAGGTTGAACTGGCCGCGGTTGACTCTGCCCTCGGCTAAGCTTCTGACGGACACGGGCTGGCCGAAGTACACGTGGATGCTGCCGTAGTCCTCGCTGAGGACCTTTCTGGCTTTGAACAGGCCCTGCGGACACACACAACCGGAGCGTGTGAGACAAATAAAACCACATCTGATGCCGTTCTGACATGAAAGCATCGTCTCAATCTTCACCTCTGACAGGCGGCCTTTAAAAAGACAATTCTGTAGGGATTTCTGTATTTTTGTCACAAAAAATCACCAATTTCATCTTTAAAAAAAGCTGATTTACGTATCAAAATGAAGGAATCTTAAGATGTAGGGACATGTTTTTTCTACTTCAGCAGGTGATGAATCGACTCACAGAGGTGGACTCTTTGGGCTTTGGGACGCCCAGCAGCTCTCTGGCGTAGAGCGCTTCCTCCAGGATCCTCTCGTAGCTGATGCTGACCGGGACCAGGCAGACGTCGAACACTTCCCCTTTAAGGAATGGGTCCATCACGATGTTCAGCAGACCTGGAGCGGGACGCAGGGGCCAGAGAGGCGACAGGAAGCTTATTTAAAAAAAATATTTTAAAAAGTTGAAAAAACTGCTCGCATCGGGATGTGTTGGACAATTTCCACATGTTTAAAGTCAGAGAGTCAGAGTAACTACAGAAAGAAAAAACACGGACTACATAAACCCTCCTGATTACCTAACTTTGGAGTCAAAGACTTGGCTGTTCGGCTTCTCGTTCCTTCCAGGAAAAATTCAACAGGAGCAAACCCATTCTGCAGAAATTCAACACAGAAGAAGAAAATTAAACATAAAAACATTTTAAAATACTAAAAAAAAACATTAAAAAAGGGTCACACGCCTCCTGAATTCTACAGACTCAGATTTTTTTCCACAACTATTTCAACAAAACCTTTAATGATAATAAAAAAGACATAGAGAAAACCTATTTTCTGCCTTTTTCTTCTCTAGCAGCTGTGAGGCTGGAAGGGCCGGCTTTACCTTCAGCATGGTCTTCACATACTCAGAGAAAACCGCCCAGTAGAGTTTGTCGCCGCCAAATGACCTCCGGATGAAGAAGGCTCCAGACATGCGCAGCATCTCACCCACCACCTTCATCCCCATGAAGTCTGCGGGAAGACACGGGCCGGGAGGTCAGAGGCACCTCGTAAAGCCGCGTTAGGGCCAGACAACACGGGCTGGCGCCCCGCTCCGTTTCCGCTCACCCATGCCGGCGGCGATGACCGGCAGGGCCAGGTCGTAGGTGTAGAGCAGGTAGGACATCAGCAGGAAGTCCATGTAGCTGCGGTGACTCGGCAGCAGAACCACCGGGTGCTCGTGAATGGCCTGCTGGAGCTAAGAGGGCAGAAACGGGTCAGACACAGGTCACACACGGGGCAGACACGGGTCAGAAACAGGGCAGACACGGGGCAGACACGGGTCAGAAACAGGGCAGAAACGGGTGAGACACGGGTCAGATTCAGGGCAGATCCGGGTCATAAACGGGTCAGAAACAGGGCAGACACAGGTCAGAAATCGGTCAGACATGGGTCAGAAACAGGGCAGACACAGGTCAGAAATCAACCCAAATTACAGATGAGTTCTCGTAAATAGTTCTAAAGATGTCCCAATCCAGTATAATGTCAGAAACAGGGCAGACACGGGTCAGAAACAGGGTAGACACAGGTCAGACATCGGTCAGACACGGGGCAGAAACGGGTCAGACACAGGGCAGACAAAGGTCAGAAGTGGGGCAGAAACGGGACAGATACAGGGCAGAAATGGGGCAGACACGGGTAAGACACAGGGCAGAAACAGGGCAGAAACAGGTCAGAAACGGGTCAGAAACGGGTCAGAAACAGGGCAGACATGGGTCAGAAACGAGGCAAAAACAGGGCAGACACAGGGCAGAAACAGGGCAGACACGGGTCAGAAACAGGGCAGAAACGGGTCAGAAACAGGGCAGACACGGGTCAGACTCGCTTCCCCCCTCCCCCCCTCCGAGCGCTCACCCTCTGGATGCCCTCCTCGTTGACGCAGATGCTCCTGAACAGGGCTTTGAAGACTTTGCAGAGCATGAAGGCAAAGAAGCGAACGGTGCTGAGCTGCAAGCGGTGGGCCATCTCATCCAAGATGGCCGACGCCTCCGCTTGGACATCCTCTACGGTCACGCCCGTCTCTTTGGAAACCTTCACATTTAGAGGGGAAAAGGGGAAAAAGGGAAGCTACTATTAGCCATTTCTGACATTTCCTCAGCTCTCAGGCCTCGTGTCAAACAAAAGCCGGCGGGTAAAGCCAGGAGGAGCCTCACCTGACCGATGACGTACCGGAGCTGGTCAGACTGCAGCACCAGGCCTTTCAGGCCACCGGCCGTGCAGGGCGTCAGCTCCTTGTACAGGACGGGCGCGTAGCACCTCAGGGCGTATCGCAGGTCACTGGAGTTCCTCCTGTCCTCCAGAATGTCCTCAAAGTCATCTCTTTTCTTTAACATGGGGTCTCTATGCTGTCAAAAAATGAAACAGAACTGGGAAATAACTTTCAGATTCATGTTAAATGTTGTGTCTCTGGGGTTTATTTACACAAAGCTTCACCAGACTGTTCATGTCATGAACAGTATACTGGATTGGGACATCTTTGGAACTATTTACGAGAACTCATCTGTAATTTGGGTTGAAATATGGTGCTTGTTTCGGTAGAGAATGTAAAAATTAACAGGATATTGATATTTATCACTTGTAGCTAAATTATTGAGCAATATTGGGATTTAAGAGGCTGTAACGACCAATAATTTAACTAATGGACACTATTGTCTACTTGATGGCTATGTCCATACATTTTATCCTGTTATTGGGATTCTAAAAAAGCCCTAAATGCCTGAAAATGACGCTTAGCTATCTAGATTTAATAGTAATGACTCCATATGGACACCTAAGTTATCATACAGTGGATTCACCAGGTGTTCAGGTTAACAAATCTATTTATTTTTCATTTGGTTTAGGTTAAAGCCATCAAATAACACCTTAAGAGAATGTGTTCTCTCGACATGACAGTGAGCAGAAATCCAGCAGACACTTCAGGGTCGTCTTAAAGAGGAAGGGAGGGAGTTAAACTGGAAAAACTGCTTTTTCCAGGAGCTGAATCCTCTTTTAAAAGTTTTAGCGGAGCAACAACATAGAGACATACAACAATTAGCATAAACTAAACTGCATACATGTAAATGTCTTTAACAATCTTAGAAAAAATACAAAATGACAGGGTGTGTAATTTAGCATGAGTCTGTTTGAATGACAACACGGCTAGCTTAGCCCAAAACACTGCACACATACCGAGTAAACAGCTTTGGAGGCCATTCTGTGCCACAATTTACGCCCCAACAAATGCTGAGTCCGGTCAAATTATACACCCACGAATTTCTCGGTGACTTTGTCAAATTTTAGTTTGCAACAGCATCTGGGCGACTTCCCATGGGCGTGTGAACGTTTTCTTAGTATTTCCATATCCGTATTTCTTGAGCTACGGTGGCCGGGAAGAACCAACCCGGTCGAATCGTGTTGCCCCATGTGCGCGTTTACGGTCTGTTGACATTCAGACCACCAACTTATAAACAGAAAATCTATATTTTCCTCGAAAATAATATTTATTTGGGTATCTTAAAATGAGCTCGGAGAACAACGGAGGAGATGAGGAAGATGGCTTGTTTCTTGAACGTGTTCTGGACAAGCTTTACGACTTTGGTGAGCGTGTTTAGCTAACGTTAGCTATGCTAGCTTCCGTTGCATGTCAAATATATGATTAAACTTACATTATGCCATTGTTTTGTTATAAGATATTGTAAGTAACTGCTTCTAAAACTCAGAGAAATCTGAATGGGCAATGTTAAGGGACAATTTAGTTGGACTACATGTTTAAACTGTTTCTGTCAGCTTGATGCATGTATTCAAATGAAAGTTAGTTGTAAATGTTTATGTTCTGGGAAACTACTGTAATAGCTGTAGGCCCTGCCTGGGTTGCACTTAATTTTAATTTCATCTTCATATTGACCGGCAGGATCGGCACCCAAAAAGAAGCAGAAGAAGAAAAAACGCAAAAGATGTGAGGAAGTGGAGGAGGAGGAAGAAGAGGAGCTCCCAGTAGTGAAGGACAGCCTGGAACCCCAAAGCCAGCAGGCACCATTATCAACCCAGCAAACGGGTAGCGATCGACATCCTGGTGTGTTTCCAGAAGGGTCTGTAGGTGATACTGAAGGAGCCGAGCCTTTCTGACTCCCCACCTCTCCCTCAGGTCCAGCCGAGCATCTGGTGAACCGGGTGGAAATAGTCACGTTTCAGGACCCCAGAAAGAAACCAAAGAGAACCAAACAGACTCCGGGCCCCGTCACCGTGCCTGTGAGTCCGCACGACTTTTGCTCAACGGTGCGGTAAATGATGGGAAAAGAGTGCCTCACCCCGTTGTGTCCTGTTACTCTTTGTGTCTCTTCAAGGCCCCGCAGATAACCGACCAGAAGCAGGACCACCAGAAAACGGAGCTCAGTTTGGAAAAGGTGAATTTTCGTCTTTGTCCTATTGTCCGATCGTCTTTCGTTCGAGCATTTTCAGCCTCTGCTTTCGCTTTCGGCCCCTTCCGACCTTTTTTTTTTTGCCTCAGGCCCGTCTGGAGGTGCATCGCTTTGGGATCACGGGCTATAAGAAGGAGGAGCAGCGCGTCTTTGAGCAGGACAGAGCCGTGATGCTGGGCGCCAGAGTAAGATAAAGATAGACGTGTCCCCTTCCCTCTGTCCCCCGATAACCAAAGCCTCACAATTGTTGTCTAATTTATCAGCCACCGAAGAAGGAATACGTCAACTACAAGCAGCTCCAGCAGCGAATCAGAGAAAAGAAGCAGAAAGCGAAGGAGGACGTTCAGCCAGTGAGAGCTTCTGCCTTCCAGCTTATGAGATAAAGCCATTTTGTTCAGTTTGTAACCGTCTTTATGGCTATTTCAGGACAAAAAGAAGAAGAAGAAGAAGCAAAGTAATCAAAGGTGGGTGAGACAGCCATCTTTAAACATCCTCCGGATTCTTAGAATTGGAGGAATTATTCGATTAGAAGGTGGACTAAAGCCAAAATACTCGTATTTAGTTCAGTTATTATCCGTTATGATTAGAGGTTTGGACACGGTGGCCATTCTCCATAAAACGTGGTTCAGAATGCAGTTTTTAACGCTCGTCTGTCTCCACCAGAGACAAGAAGTCAGCCTCCGGGTCTGCGGTGGCGCCCTCGGGCCAGGTTGGGCGTTTCAAGAACGGCTTGCTGGTCCTCAGCCCCAAGGAGATCCAGAAAATCAAAGCCCGCAGGTAGGCGGGAGAGGGCGGGCTTAAAGCTTTGGCCGGCGTGGTCAAACGGGCAGAGAAGTGCAGAGTTGAGACGTGTGCGTTTGTGTTTGCAGGTGAGATGAAGTCTGAAAGCGTCGGCCGCCCGCCCGGCGCCTGAAGCTGTCCCCAGATGTTTGCAGCTGTCTGTGGCCGAGCTCTGCGGGGAAACGGAGCCTCCGTCTGCTCACCGGGCCCGAACGGACTTTGCGGCAGAACTTGAATGCACCACGATGATGTGTTCGCGATCATATCCTGTCAGTATTTGTATGAAACATTCACACAAGTGGGACGAGATGAGCACATAAGAGCAAGATAATAGTGTTTTTCAAAGAAAATACCTAAACTTAATTTTTTTTTAATGAAAAAATATGCAAACAAACGGGGTCCCCTCATGTGTGTGGGGGGTCTTAATTCATATGAATAGATTATAGAACATGAGTCAACCTTTTTTGGCTTTCTATATAACAGAAGTTTAAGCTTTCCTGGACTTCATAAACTGGTTAAAGCTTATTTTAAAGGCATTTTGGAGCCTGTTTTGACCTGTAAAAGAGTTTGTTTTGCCCGTCACTGTGCGTTATATTTACTGAATGTGATAAATAAATGGGTGTGTAGTTGTTGCTGGGAATCACCAGTGAGACTCATTCAGTTGTGTTGTTTTCTGTTTGCGTTTGTGATGCGTGGTGACAGGAGGAGAAAATAGCTCATTCAAACCCAACCCGAAAACAACCCGCAACTCTAAATCTAAGCATCTGCTGAGGACGAGCTTTCCTCCCCTCCAGTTACGATTTCCTCCTCCTCCATTTTGACATCAACCCAGCCTGCAGACACGTGCTCTCAAATCATTCCCACTTTCAGAGGGGAGAAAAGGACCCTCCAGTTACACCATTAATGTTACTTTTTGCTCAGGAGGCTGAAAACTTGTTGTCCTTGGGGTGGGTTTCTCTTCTGTGGAGTGTGAGATGTGTCAAAGCTTAGCCGCTACTTGATGAAAATGCCGCCTTTAGGTGGAAACTGACAGTCCGACAAACATTAGGAAGTCATTCCCCCTCAGCAGGTTCTTAGATGTCTCCTTTCTGAAGCCCAGCTGGGAGTTTTACAAGATAAAAAAAGATGATTTCAGATGAATGGCCACTGAAATGCAATTAAACTCATCTTTAGCCATCATCCTGATCAATAGAAAGCTAAATTAATTGGATGTAATGTCGTGTTTGTGCCACTGGGGGGCGCCAGAACGAAACTTAAATGGTTGCTCTGCTCCCTGGATGAACTTTAATTATATTTATCTCAGTTGTAGCTTTTGTTTGCCTAATTGGTTCCAGAATAACCATTTTTAGCTGGTCCCTAATGCTGAAATTAGACGCTGTTGAATAAAAGAAGTGCAGACAAATGTTTTGTTGTCTTCTTAGTCACTGCTTCAAAAAAGAAAAGTTCAAATGCCGATCCAAAGTGAATATTAAATTAATGTTTTTCATTGTAGTGAACAAGCAGCTGGTGTTGAATGAAATGGACTTTCTTTTGCTATCCTGAACCAAAGGAATGTGTATTTCAAAAGTCATTATTAGAGTCACATGTAGTGCACCACAGTCATAGTCAGTGTTTGTGCTGAGTCATGGAAAAAAAGACCACTGGACTTTTCAACGGTTTTCAACTAAATTTGATTCAGCCACCATCTTCACCCTTTTTTTTTTGTTATGTTCAGAAACCTCCTGTGTTGGTGATAAAAGTCCAGTTGCTGTCAGGCTGCTTTCTCCTGATTTCCCCCCTCCTCTGTAGCAGGAAGCGGTTACAGGGTCAGGAAGTGCATTTTGACCATGAAAGCCTGATTCTAGTAGCCCCAAAAAATTATTTTAACTCCTTCCAAATGAATTTTCCTAAATGTTTATGATGCATCCAGACAAATGAGGACACGCCCCTTAACAACCCGACAAAAGACATTCATAGTCTCACTACACTGGACATTTTCAGACATTTGTCTTTGGCACAAACCTAATGTCCAGCTTTAAAATTCACCTACCGGTGGAGAACAATAAGAATGAATAGATTTACTGAGATTTATACGAATTCATGCACACACCTGAAAATGGGAAGTGCCAGTCCAGCAGACAGCAGCTCTGGGCCTGAGGTTCCCGTGGAGCTGGCTTCTGTTTTCTGATCTGTCCCCCTCACCGTCCACCAGTCCAGACCCTCCTACCACGCAGGAATCTGACCCCGGAGCTCTGGATTTCCAATCCCAGCGATCCCTCACAGGCTTAGTTTGGTTGTTAGCTAACTGAATAGACAAAAAGAACTATTCTCAATTCAAATAAGTGGCTTTAATAAAGTCTTTAAACTCTTTTCTCTTCAAATCGAACCATTTCCACCAGTCATTCATCCCTTCTAGCTGATTTCCGGGACTATATCTCCTCTCTGTCGTGTTCTTTTCATCTGTAATTCCACACTAATTACACCAGCCTTCATTTAGCTAATCTTATGGTAAAAGAAATAGATATTCTAATTGAATAAAATTAAATTTCAAAATGCCAAAATGAACTGAAACTGAAATGCACATCTGTGCTGCTCTGCAGAAGCAGTTCCACGTTCTGACCACTAGAGGGAGCATACTGGCCAAATAAGATCAGAAAATATCTGTGCGTCATATTTTTAAATATGAAAACGAAAGATTGCATCATCTAAACAACAACTGACGGTCTCTGCTCTCTTTTTGCCACAACTCTGAACACGCAGCGTCCTGGAAAGAAAACAGACGGCACATTTTAGGGGTAACCAATTTATTAATGCCATTTTTTAAAATTTGGATATCAAAGACTTTGTAAAGAGTTTATTTTTTTTCCAGATTGTGCCTGGAGACGTGCTGGTGAGCGTCGTCTCCTAACTGGAAGAAAACGATTGTGAAACACTGCAATAAAATGTGAACTCAGCTACATTAATACCAGTTTCCATTAAAGTGACGTCGATAACCAGACCCCACAGCTGCATCTCCACCGCCCAAAACCAAACCAGGAGCAAAACTTGTGGTACATAATCAGATAAAAGACGATTTGTTTCAAACTGTAAACATCAACTTATGTTAAGGAGGAAAAACAAGTCGGCAAAGTGGAGGAACAGAAAAATGAAGTCCACATTAAATGTAATATACAAGAAGTACCTCGTCCACACGAAGCTGAGCTAGAAAAAACAAAATCAGTTTTTGTTTAAACGTCCACTGACACACACAGCAAAAAAAAAAAAGTTTTCCCATCTCTGGATGATCTGGAATAATCTCAAATACTGAACAGATGAGACGACGTGGTCATTCGATGCTCAAAAACTGCTAATAAATCCTTGTTCCTTCACAGGCTGATTAAAAAATCCCCTCTGTCCTCCAATCTGAGTTGGTTGACGTGTAAAATGGCTGCTGGCTCAGCTGGGAGCTGCACAGATGTGACTGCTCCCCACATCTGCCTGTTGGAGAAAAAAAACAAACAAAAACAACAACACTGATGGAGAGAAAAAGACAACAGCTTCTCCAGCCTGAGGAGGGAAGTTTCCTTAAGTCAGTGCAAAGTCCCAGTGGGTGGGGGGGGCTGGACGGTGGCTCTTTCCAGCTGACCCCACCGGCCGCTCCGGCCCGTCTCCTTTTTCTTTTTTTTTCCAGTGCAAATGGAGCAGAGTCTCTTTTGTCCGACACTGACGGGGATGGTTCAAAGTGCCTCAGTTCGCAGGGGACCCGGGTTTTTTTTTTCTCAATCTTTTTTTTTTTTTTTTTTGGAAAAGCCTCAGTAACAAAACTAGAATCTCAGTTAAAACGACGAGAAAAATATACACAAATATACGTTTACAATATATTATGTACACGTACGCGGGCTCTTTAAAAAGTTGAGCGCTCGGCTGCCTTTTGGGGACGAAGTGCGGACGTTGTGGCGGTGTGGGACCCGCTTTGTGTCGCTGTCCGAAACAAAAACAGCCCTCTGACCAACAGCCCGGCGGCCACATTTCAAGCAGCAACACAGCGCCTCCAATTGTTCACAAACAGCGAGCGGCGGGCGGGCGGGCTCGTGGGAAACTTAACATTATATTGCAGTGTTACAGACCAATCTCTCTTTTCATCTTAAAAGTTTTCGAATTGCACTAATCGTGGACCACATGTCCTGCGGGTCAGCTCCAGTTTAACTTTCTGGACCGTGGCTCGGGGTTATTCTTGAACCTTCAGCAGCGACTTTAGGTGGACGGTCATCTGCTCCCGGCTTTGGCTGCTCTGCTGAGGCTCGTCCTCCCCCACCCAGTGGCTGGGCGGCTTGGGTAAGACACTGGGCGAGGGGGGCTCGCTGAACCGGGCTCCGGCATACACCTTCTCGCCATCCTTGAGGTATTCGGGGGGGTTCTGGGCGGGCGGAGTGCTGTGGATCTCCACGTGGTTGGAGGCGTGGAGCGGTTTCTTTTGCTCCCCGGACAGAGGCGGGTGGGAAGACGAGGGCTTCTTGGGGGGGCGGTTGTCCTTCTTCCTGGTGGAGGGAGAGGCGGCGGGGGTTTGGCTCGGCTTGGGTTTGTGGCTCCGGGCATTGTGGGTAATCTGATCGTGTCTGGGCAGGTTGCGAGCCGACTGGCCTCCCGGTTGGACAACCCCACGCTCTGTCCTGTTCCCTTTGGCTTTCAGCAGCTGGAACAAAACAGAAAAAAAATATGAGTCCAACAGTTTGACAACAACCCTGATGAACTTAGACTCACACCACTGAAAATCTGTGGTGAAAAAGTGATAGTGAAAAATCAAAAACTACTTCTTCCTTTAAAGGGGACTTAGAGGAACTTAAAAAGCAAAAAACTGTACCACAGAGCCATATTCAAAGTCAACACTTCCTCTTATATTTCCTCTTGCTCAACCCGGGGATTTTCTCTGGGCTTCGTCACCCGTTGAATAAAAGAAGAAGTTAGTCTTGTTTTACTTCTGTGCGGCTTTCAGTGCGTCACAGCAGCTTGGGGCTAGTTTTAGTTTGGTTTCGCCCAGAGAAACATGAAATAACATCCCAACTTCGGTTAAGAGGAATTAAATAAAAATCTCCACCAAAGTTTCAGTAAAAAGGGACCACAACAAGCTGGTCACTGACTGTCTTTTCAAATTAAAACTCAACCAAACAACAACAACTGTATGCTCACAGCTGAATAAAAAACTAGAAATATTTAAATATGTTAATTAATGTCATTCAACACAGCTGCTTCGTCCCATAAAAGTCACGCGCTCCTTTATGGTTGAGCCCCACGCGCTCCTCCCGGTTGTCGTAATAAGGGACGACAACAAGCTTGTCACTGACTGTCTTTTCAAATTAAAACTCAACCAAACAACAACAACTGTATGCTCACAGCTGAATAAAAGACAAGAAATATTTAAATATGTTAATTAATGTCAATCAACACAGCTGCTTCGTCCCATAAAAGTCACGAGCTCCTTTATGGTTGAGCCCCACGCGCTCCTCTAGGCTGTGGACTCACCTCTCTCTTGGCTCCCTGTTTGCCGTGATGGAGGCCGAGCAGAGCCTGGGTCCCGGCGGGGTGCGGGGCCCCGGCCTGGGACGCCGGTCTGTGGGCACCGGGGGCCGCCGGGGTCCCGCCGGTGGTGTTGTTGTTGTTGTGGTCCGACAGGCGGCCATTGGGGCAGTGTCTCGGTGGTTTCCGCAGTTTCCTCCCCCCTTTCTTCAGCAGCGCCTGTTTCGTTTTGTTGCCCATGTTCACCCTTTCGTTGCCGGAAATAAGCGACAAAGGGTTGTTGTTTTCGACGTTGCCGAGATTTGCTTCACCGCCCTGCGCAGGAGATCCGTCCAACATGTCTTTGCAGTAGCGAAAACATAAAAGGACCGGGAAATTTCTCCGTGGAAAAACTGTTTCTAGCTAACGACTCTACGCGCGAGCTGTGAGCTAACGGTTAGCCAAGAAGCTAAATGCGTCTTTGAGCTGTTTTAACGCGAAACAGTAAAGTTTTAACGGTGAAACGTCGTCTCCAAAGTTTTCTTTGCAAAGTCCAGGGTTGCTAGTTACTGCAGCAGCTGAAAGGTCCTCTGTCACCTTTTCCCGAGATGGCGCTTTAGTATCTGACTGCGAGCTAAGAAAGCGGAAGTAGCACATTTATTAAGTTATGCAGAATAACAAACGCAACTTCCGTTGGGGCCCTTCAAAATAAGAACATACATGTTCAAGAAATTAACTTAAAGAAATCTGTTTATTAGCGTCATACTCCACAATCTTAATGAGACAAAACCAAATCAAGGCCCTGGAATTTTTTTAACCATAATGTAAAACACCATAATAACAAATGTGTATATAATTTACTTTCTTTCCAAGTTTTAACCCTTTTTTAAATAATATTATGAATATCATGATCATTATTGTTCGTGATTAGATTAGTTTAGATTTTACATAGAGACATTTTTCTAGAAAACAAATATACATAATTCAAGCATGTAATTATGTTGTTAAAACATGACTTTAGTGCTTTAAGTGCAAGCAGAAGAAAAGTTTTGATCATTTTAAGACACCGTAGTGGATCTACAATACAAATGGAACCAAATGGATTTTTGGTCAAATAACTTCTCTTTGTCAATCATTTACAACCACCATCTGGTTTGGTCCGTTTTAAAAAAGTTTTTATACATTTATTTCATGGACAACTTCTTCCTACATTTGTTGTTATATTTTTTTAGCTTGACGATTTTCTTTTCCGGAACTCCTGGTTTCCATTAATGGGCACTTCCGGCTGTGGCCTGGTGACGGTGTTTTGTATTTCAATTGGCTCTCTACTTGGGGGGCGCGGCTCAATATACTATGTAAACAAATACAACTCATCATCTGAGGTTGGAGACAGTTAAACTCTCACCCAAAGTCTTTGTTAGCCTTTCTCTTTTTAACCATTATAAAACCTCCAAAGACACAGTTTTCTTCCCCTATTACTGTCTACATTATACTTATTATCCTGTTGTACGTAGTTTTCAAAATAATACCAGAAAAAAAGCTGGTTCCGGTCTATGTCTTATTAAATTTATTTTTATTCTATGTATTATATGTATTATTACCTTTTCTAGCCTTTCTTAATCACTGTGATATATTTTGCTAATCATTTGGAAAATATGCCAATATCAGACTTGTTTAAATAAATAAGCTTTTTTTATACACCTTTCACTACAGATGACCAAAGTTGCTGCTTGTTACACATATTGGACAAACACATGTCCACACAAACTGGACGCAGGTTTGCTATCACACAGTTTTATTGTAGAAAACGTGATCAGCAGCTGATGAGCCCTGATAACATTTAGCAAAACGCACGTCTCTGAGTGAAGTCTCACTACACTACACTTCTTTTTAAAAACCAGGATCACCTTGTTCCAAAACACTCACAATAAAAAGGTGGGCTGGTACTTTTTTTTTTTGTTCTCATACAGTACATCTTGTAAGTGCACAAATGTCCAAAAAAACTACCAAGAAGGAAGAACACAGGAGCCTAAATCCACTACCGCCACTGATCGATAACTGTTTGGCAAAAGAGAACCGATGAACTCAAAAGGCAAATCTGAAACTCACGCGGGAGGACATGTTAAAGGTTTGTTTCAGTACAAAAAATAGATATATAAACAATATACAAATACAACAGAAATATCTAAGGGTCCGTCCCTGTAAGTGCAGTACATATCATTTGTCACAATGACCATTGAAGGCAAATCGACGAGACACGCGGCGTCCTGGAGGCTGTTCTCTCGTCGGGAGCAGCGGGGGG